CAGTGCCCAAGATGATGATGTGTAGCATTGTGATGGTGATTATGATGATGGTACGGGCAATGGTCATGATGATGGTGAGAATGGCAAAGCTGCTGGTGACGAGGTTGGCGACAATCATGAAGATACTGATGGTATGGGGCGGTGATGGTGTTGACTGTGTTGGCGGTGGCGGTGGTTGAGGTTCTTGTGAGGATGGCCGCGATGAGGGGCGGAGCAGGGGGCAGAGTAACCATGGCGAGCCCCGAAGAGGAAGGATGGAGGAGATAGGAGGGATGGGTTCTGAAGAGGACGGAGGGGAAAGTGGCAAGGCGGATGATGATGATGACGATGCAGGTGATGGCGGTGGTGATGGTTCGTTTGATGTATGTGGCGGTGGTAACGATGATTAACACGATGAACATCAAACGGGGGAGCCATGAAGGGTTCTGAGGAGGGTAGTGGGACCAAGCGGGCGGCATGGTAATGAGAATGCTAATGGGGAGGAGAAGAAAAAGACGGGCGATGATGATGAGGATTGCGACGACGGTGTTGTGAGGGGGTGCTTGTAATGGTTGTGGGCAATGGTGATCGGCAGGGTGGGACTGATGACTTCCACCTCCTGGATTAAAAAGGTGGTGATCGGCACTATGCGAAGGAATAACCCCTGGGTCTTCGTCAATCGATACAACCTCGAGCGTCGATCTTCGATCGATCCCAAGATGACTCCAAGACAGGCTCGTGACCCTGTGAGGAATTCTCAGGCGACATCGCCACTCTCAAGCGGCATCAAGATCGGTCTGAAAATTTGTCCTGAGGAAGTCCCACGCGAAATCGCCATTTCCAGATGCCATGGCAAATTTTCAGATCGCCCTGGAAAGCAATCTGAAAGCTTTTGTGAGGAAGTCTCGGGCGGAATCGAATTTTCAGACGCTCGCCCCACTTGGCCGCTATAATACTTAAAGGGGTGAGAGATGCATCTGGAATTCCCAAAGCGGCCCCAACCCCAACATTGTCCAAGGCCCCGCGCCCAAACGGGAGGCCAACGGCGTCTTCCTCGACCACCACGGTCTCCACTTTTTAAGCCAGCGGGTTATAGGGTGACACGGAGGCAAGGTGATCAAGGGTTAAAACGGACATGAATGCGTAATCCGTCACCGAAGGAATCCGTTTGCAACCCGCCACAACAAAGAATTCTGTTGCAATCCGCCTCAAAAGAACTCCGTCTGCAACCCCCCTCAAAAGGAATCGTTTTCAAAATTCACCATAAAAGGAATGAACATGTAAGCCGCCATAGATGGGGTCAATCTGTCATCCAGCACAAGAGGAATCGACTTGCAACCCGTTGCAAAAGGAATCAAATTGGAACCCGTTTCAAATGGAACTTATATCGAGACCGCCACAAAAGGATTAGTGTTGCAAGTCTCCGCGCAAGGAATGCATGTGTGATCCGACACAAAGAGGAACAAGCTTGTCATCGGCCCTAAAAGGGGACTCCCCTGGAAAGGCTGACACCACAGCGATACAGTTGTAGTGCCGCGCTACAGAAACAAACATTATCCCGGCAAAGCAACCTAACAGCGATGTGTAGAAGCATATCTGGAAGCATTCTCCTTAATATTCAGATCATAATCCAGTTGTAGAATTCAGCTGTTCTCACAGTCGCAGTCGCATTCGCGATGACAGTCGCAGTGGCAACGGCATTCGCAATCACAGCCTCAGCCTCAGCCTGCCTCAGTATCAGCCTGCCTCACTCTCAGCCTCAGCCTGCCTCGGCCTCAGCCTCAACCTCAGCCTGCTTCAGCCTCAGCCTCAGTCTGCCTTCAGCCTCAGCCTCAGCCTCAGCCTGCCTCGGCCTCAGCCTGCATCAGCCTCAGCGTCTGCCTCAGCCTGCCTCAGCGTCTGCCTCAGCCTGCCTCAGCCTCAGCCTCAGCCTCAGCCTCAGCCTCAGCCTCAGCCTCAGGCTGCCTCAGCATCAGCCTGCCTCAGCCTCAGCCTCAGCCTGCCTCAGCCTCAGCCTCAGCCTGCCTTCAGCCTCAGCCTCAGCCTCAGCCTGCCTCAGCCTCAGCCTCAGCCTCAGCCTCAGCCTCAGCCTCAGCCTCAGCCTCAGCCTGCCTCAGCGTCTGCCTCAGCCTCAGTCTGCCTTCAGCCTCGGCCTCAGCCTCAGCCTCAGCCTCAGCCTGCCTCAGCCTCAGCCTCAGCCTCAGCCTGCCTCAGCCTCAGCCTCAGCCTGCCTCAGCCTCAGCGTCAGCCTCAGCGTCAATGCCTCAACCTCCGGGCATTCAAAATGTGGCCCGGGAATGGAGTTCTGGGAAGTCGAAGAGCACGAAGTGGCCTGCAGCTGGCTCCGGGCATTCAAAATGTGGCCCGGGAATGGAGTTCTGGGAAGTCGAAGACCACGAAGTGGCCTACAGTTGGCTCCGGCATTCAAAATGTGGCCCGGGAATGGAGTTCTGGGAAGTCGAAGACCACGAAGTGGCCTATAGTTGGCTCCGGGCATGCAAAATGTGGCCCGGGAATTGAGTTCTGGGAACTCGAAGACCACGAAGTGGCCTACAGTTGGCTCCGGGCATCCAAAATGTACGCCGGGAATGGATTTCTAGCAGCGCCAAGAACGATTTTGCGAGGATGTCCCAAGCGATTTGGGCTTCGGCGGCAGCCGATCCGGGTCCCGCCCCGACCCCCCTGTGGAGTCATCTGCTGCTTTCTTTTGAGACCACTAGAAACCTATCAACAAAAGCTGTTAGGTAACAACAGCCAGTCGATTGGGTAACGAAAGCGGCGGAGACATAGAACACGAGTATCGAAGACGATCTCTCTCTCTCTGTACATATATATATACACATATATATATATAGATGCACACTTCTGTCTTACAAAAAGAAAAGATGTGGTACACACGCACGATTTTATCAGCTCCACCCCCCCTCCCCAACTACGAGGAAAAACCTAATAAGGGGCACAGGGACGCCTGACCCTGACCTCTGGGCCCTGTCTTCGGGCCGCAACAAAAAAAGAGGGGGGTCGGGTGAAGAAGGGCGCCGTCGAAGAGACCTCCAGGAATCACAGGTGCTAGAACGAACCCCTGGGCCCCCAGCAACACGGCCCCGCCCGGATCTGAACACCCCACCCTGTCCCCGTCCGAGCGGCACAGTTGGATCTGGCAAGAGGGGGCGAGCCCAAACGATCGTCGACCCGTCCCTGATGCCCAACAGGAGGGAAACAGATGGGGAAGCCTGAAAGGATGCCGAACGAACGGTGCAAGGGCGTCAACAGAGAAACATGCATCATCCCTGCGACTGGACCTGGACGTGTTTACCACCCCTGTCAGAACGAAATTCGCAACCAGCCATTGTCATGTCATGGGCCCCACAACTCTTAGTCCCTTTCCAAGAATTGTTTTGTCGTCCCGGATCTTTGTCGAATAGCCCCAAGACCCGGATTTCTCCCCCCTCCCCCACCTCCCCAGAGGCCACTATTGAGGAAAAGCGCTGGGACTGAAATGACGTGGAAGCCTTGGTCCCGAGGATACTCCGCAAGCGTTTGGCTCAAGCAGCGCTGACTGTACCTACACGAGGCTTGCCTAAGTGCCAGGCATCATTCGGCAGGATACAGTCGTTTGCTTTCCTGGCGGCGGTCGAACAAAATCAAGCCGATTGATGGCGATACGGCAGGCTTACGCCGCGATGACGTCAGCGCTGGTTTCTGGCACAGCGTGGATCGCGCAATCCGGAACGATCGCGGCTATCCTTAAGTCGGGCCTGTCCCCCTACAGGCCGATGTTATAGATGTTATACGAAAAATAAAGTATACTTCAAACATGCCCTAACATATTCCAAAATGATCCAAAGAAATCGTCTCCAGAGTATTGTTTCACTATCTTGGAATTTTCCCCCTGTTGAGGGACAGGCCCGACTTCAGGCTGTCCAACTGCGCAGGTCGTTCGATGCTTGCCGGTTCTGGGCCGGCGGCGCCGCTCGTCCCCGAGCGCCCGCGCCGCTGCCGCGCCACCGCGGCGCGAGCTCACGGCGACGACGGCGACGGCGACGACGACGACGAATAGGATGGCGACGTCGACGTCGACGACGACGACGACGGCGACGACGTCGACGGCGACGACGGCGACCACGACGACGACGACGACCGCGCCGACGTCGCATTGGCGTCCTGGGCCCGAGGGCGGTCAGGCGGTCCGACGGCGTGCCGCCCCCGTGGGAGGGAGGAGGCCCCCCGCGGGGCGCGCCCCGGCGCGCCTGGTAGGCTCTGGAGGCCTCGGCGTCCTGGCCGCTCTGCCGGGCGGGGGGGAAGATGGAGGCCTCCTGGATGGGGTCGGAGCATCGCACCACATCGCCGATGCCTCGGCGACGCATCGGCGATGCATCAGTGATGCACCAGCGATGCACAGTCGACGTCGGCGATGCTTCGGCGACGCCCGCATCGGCGGTGCATCGGCGAAGCATTGGCGATGCGGCGCCATCCTCCGATCCCATCTGCTCGGGCCCCATCTAGAAGGCCCAGAGAGGAGAGGGTGGGAGGAGGAGGCGATCGTGGAGGAGTCCCAGCATCCAGCCCTCCTGCCTGCTGCAGATGCTGACGGTAGGAAGCCCCGTCGTGAGAACCTCTGGAAGGCGCATGCCGCCACCCCGCTCGCTCCCGATGCGCCCAAATGGGCGGCGCGGACACCACGGCAAACCCACGGCAAACCCTGCGTCCCGCGCCCCACGGAGACGACGCCGGCACCGCGGCAAGAAACCCCACGGCAGAGCCTGGCGCCCGAGGCGGAGTTTGCCCCGGCGGCCGCGGCGTCCTCCCCAAAAAGGACGGCCGCGCGTCGGAGCAAACGGCGCGGCGACATGTGCATCCTCGATGCTTGAACGTCCGAAGGTTAGGTCGGGCATGTCCTCCTGCAGGCGGGCTTGGGAAGGAAAATCACAAACGGGCAGGAATACCCAACAAGAACCCAGAGAGCACCAAGAACCGCCCCCAGAGTTTTTGGTTACTACTCTCGAGTGCTCCCCCTGTAGAGGGACGTGCCCCACACCATCCTGAGCACTCCCAGGCCCTCTGTGGGCCCCCCGAGGCCAGTGGAGGATACCCCCGAACCTCTGGGGGGCAACCGCCGGCAGGCTGGCGTCTCGTCTGCACGTGCTCGCTCTGTGCGGGTGCCCCCTGGGCGCCGGGCGAATCTCGACGCCGCGGCCGTGAGATGAGGTCGGACGTGTCCATTCACAGGCAGAGTTTGGGCCAAACATTGTCGACGACTCGTCCCGATACTATGTTTTGACTAGTTTTGAATATTCCTTCTTCTTGCCGTCACTCGGGCGTCCATTCCCTGTGCGTTTTTCGGTTGTGTGCGTGTCTTTCTTGCTCGATGATCCAGGATGCTCTTCGGTGGTCCTCGCCGAGCAAAAATGCACACGTCCAAGCGATGCCAAGTCTTCCTCCTGTAGAGGGACAGGCCCTACTTAGACCGTGAGGGCTCGGGACGGTCGCGGCGGAGAGAGAGAACGACACGGCGGCGGCATAGGGGGGGGGAAGGGGAGGAGGAGAAGGATCAGAGCACAGTCGACCCGTATCATGAGGATGCGCGGTAAGGATGCAAAGGGCCTCGGAGGGCCAAGCTGGCGGTTTTCGAACGAGGTCGGCCAGCGAGAGTCGCTAAGCATGGGCCGAAGGGGCAAGGATGCAATGGGTATCCTTGGGAAGGTTGCCTATCCTCACTCTGCGGGTGGACTGTAGACCCAAGGTAGGTCAGCGATGCTGCAACGCACCCTCCCGTCCAAAGGCCCCCCCTCAGAAGCTCCGACGCTGCCTTCTCTCACTGCAGGAAGCGCCCGCTTGAAAGACCAGCCCCACATGGGCCTGTCATATGGGCGAGCGCCCTGCTCTCAAAAGAGAAGCTCCCTCGCCTCCTTCTGGCGAGTAGCGAGGACTTCGCGAAGGCAAGACCATAGAGCTCACCGAGGCTCGGCACCGAGGGGCCCAGCGAGACCCCAGTCCTGGAAGAGGGCCGCCCTCCACCTGTGCAGCCAGAGGCTGCAGGGACAAATCTCCAGCGAAACCCACACTCTGAAACAGGACCGCCCTCCGTCCGCGAAGCCGTAGCATCTGCTCGACTTGCTCGTCTCTGGATTGCGGGGGGTCCCAAAAGCGGAAGCCCCGCGTTGAGAAGGGACGACCGCCCACCAGAATTACCCGCGACTGCTTCGCCAGGTCTGAGACGAACGTGAGCGGCGCCAAGCGAGAGCCCAGGGCTTGACATGGAGCCACCTTCAATCCTGGTGACCGTTGCACGTTTTGAGGATGGGATGCGCGCGGCGCTGATGCGAGAGCCCAGGGATGATGCTAATGCTGATGATGATGCTGATGATGATGATGCTGATAATGATGATGCTGATGCTGATGATGATGATGATGATGCTGATGATGATGATGATGATGATGATGGTGATAATGGTGATGATGGTGATGATGGTGATGATGATGATGATGATAATGAAGATGATGATGGTGATGATGGTGATGATGATGATGATGATGATGATGATGATGATGATGATGAGGATGATGAGGGGGAGGAGGAGGAGGAGGAGGAGGAGGAGGAGGGGAAGGAGGACGACGGGTGGTGACCCAGCGTGGCCCACACAGATTCCACCAAGTTGCGTTTTGTGTGTGAATGTGTGTGTGAATGTGTGAATGTGTGAATGTGTGAATGTGTGTGTGTGTGTGTGTGTGTGTGTGTGCGGGTGGAGGGGGGTACGAGGGCACTTCGGGCTCCAGGGGGGACGAAAGGCGGGGAGACGGGAAGGGGACGGCAGACCAAGGGGGCCAAAGTGAGGAGAAGGACCGGGGTCAGGAGTGGCGTATGCAGCGGTTCCGCCGCCACCATTGCCTTGCGACAGTTGCGTCGGCAGCTCAGCAGCTGACAACAGCTCCACAGGGAGCAGTGCTTCCTACATGCCACCTTCTATCGTTCCTCCTCCAGCTTCTGTCGTTCCTCCTCCTTGTCTTCTCAGAGCGGACGGGAGAGGACTGGGGGAGTGGAGGGGAGGGGGAAGGGAAAGCGGCATAAACTCAAAGGTCGTGGCCGCGGGAGGCCGCAAGTTCGGCAGAGATGACATATTCATGGCACATGTATGGCGTAATTGCCACGACCTGGGCACCACTACCACAAGCTGGCCGAAGGTAAGGCCCGATAGATGGTGGCGGGCGTCTAACAGAAGGGGACATGTAGAGAGAGGGAGAGAGAGAGAGAGAGAGAGGAGGACGAGAAGGGAGGGCGAGGATGGGGGCGAGGTAATTGGGGGGCGGATGCCCTGAGCACACGCGCGCAATACTTGCTGGAGGGCCTGCGGAGAGGACATCAGATACAGAGCCACCGGTTCCCCAAAAACAAGAGGCCCCTGCCTGCGCCAGTCCGGCACTTCCCAACTCTCCCGGCACTGGCGCGAAGGAATGTGCGCCCAAGTGTTCTGAGCACGAGGGCAAGAAAGACACGAGCTATGCAACAACCCCTCTGGATCTGGAACGGAGCACGTGCGAACTCCGCTATAAGTGCCGTCCGGATGTCCTCGAAGTCTCGACGGCTGCAGCCGGCAAGACATGGGCTTGAGATCGTCGGCGCGCGCGTGCAAGCGTGACCAAGTGTCAGTTACGACGTAACGCCGTGCCCTCCCCTTGCGCTTCTCTTCCCTCCCCGCCTCCCGCTCGCAATGTCTGCCCGAACGCTGCCTGTTCTGAAGGGGCCCTGGGACACACAAATAAATACGCACAAATAAGAAGGTTCCCCATATTTTCCCATATTTTCTGGGTTTCTGTCTTCCCCACCACTTCCCATATTTTCCAATATTTTCTGGGGAGTCGACGATTCATCGTGTCTGTGTGTTTTTTCCCCTCCTGATGTTCACGGGCCACGGGTGCCCCGAAGAGGACCCTTTTCTCCAACCGGGAGCCACCCGAGGTGGACATCCCAAGGCCCCTGCCCGAAAGCCCCTCCAGAAGCAGAGAAAGGCAAAAATGGAGAGCCTCCTCCCTCCCTGACTCCCTCCCTCCCTCCCTCCCTCCCTCCCTCCCCCACCCCCAGTCCCCGACGCCCATCCCCGAACCCGCGATTCAAGGAGTCGGGACTGGGGGTGGGGGTGGGTCTTCGGGGTCCTGGGATGGAGGAAAACCCACCCCCACCCCCAGTCCCGGCCCCTTGAATCGCCGGCTCGGGGATGGGCGTCGGGACTGGGGCTGGGGGTGGGTGTTCGCCTTCTGACTCCCTCCCTCCCCGTCGCACCCCCAAACCTCGCCATCGCTGGGACGTCCCTTCCCCGCGCATGTCTCGATTTCGTGCGTGTGTGTTCTTCGCTAGATGATTGATAACTCGGCGCTGGACACACCTCCCTTCGGTAGACCTCCCCTTAGTGAAAACGGCCTGGGGCCGAAACCGACGGACCTGGACCCGCAAAAATGACGGCCGCGACGCCCTCCCGCGAACCGAAAACGGCCAACTCCTCAATCGACGTGTCGGGGTAGGTCTGTCCAGCCCCGAAGAATGCTCCTCGATGGCCGCCGCCAAGAAGAGGGGCACACGCCCGAGCGATGCCAAGAGAAACCCGTCGGCAGGGCGGGCTGGGCGCCTCGCCCGGAGACCTCCCCGCCACCCGCGGCCCCGAGGCCTTGCAACAAAAGGGCAGCGGCTGCCACGGGCGGAGGGCCGGGCCCCTTTCACAAAACGTGGCCCCTCTCCGCAGCGCCGCGCACGTTCGCCCACATTCGTCTCCCTCCCCCTCCCCCTCCTCCTCCTCCTCCTCCTCCTCCTCCTCCTCCTCCTCCTCCTCCTCCTCCTCACACCCTCCTCCCCTCCTCCTCCTCCCTCCTCCTCCTCCTCCTTCTTCTCCTCCTCCTCCTCCTCCTCCTCCTCCTCCTCCTCCTCCTCCTCCTCATCTCTTCCTCCTCCTCGTCGTCCTCCTCCTCCATCTCTTCCGCCTCCTCCTCCTCCATCTCTTCTTTCACAAAACGTGGCCCCTCTCCGTGGCGCCGCGCACGTTCGCCCACATTCGTCGCCCTCCTCCTCCCCCTCCTCCTCCTCCTCCTCCTCCTCCTCCTCCTCCTCCTCCATCTCTTCCGCCTCCTCTTCCTCCTCCTCCCTCCTCCCCCTCCCCTCCCTCCTCTCCCTCCTCCCCCTCCTCCGCGCAATTGGCCCCTCCATACTCTGATGGAGCGCAGGTGGTTCTCAGAGGTGGCTCCTGTCTTATCGCCGTGGGCATTCGTTTCAAAAGCGGATGTGTACAGCAGGTCGTTTCCAACATGTGGCTCACGCCTTATCGCACGCCGCGCACGTTCGCATCAGGAGCTTGCAGCAATTTCACTGATGGATGGCGTATCGTTTTCAGCAGGTGGCTCTGGCCTTAGCGCCGCACACATTCATCAAAAAAGTTCGCAGCGGCTTCAAACATTCGTATGGTCGAGTCCCTAGAATGGTTTTCTGCCGCGATTCAGGGTCGCCAAGACGCAACATTCAAGTTGGTCCGCCGCGCTGAAGTCCCAAGAACGGTGTTCTGGCACGATTGGGATTTCTCAGACGGTTGTCCTCTGATTCGCCAGTTCCCGCAGTGTACGAAATTCTTCCAGGGAGCCATGAAGTGGGAACGTGGGTTTGCCCTGGACCCTCCTCCTCCTCCTCCTCCTTCTCCTCCTCCTTCTCCTCCTCCTCCTCCCACTCCTCCTCCTCCCCCTCCTCCTCCTCCTCCTCCCTCCTCTTCCTCACTCCTCCTCCTCCTCCTCCGCTCTCCTGCTCCTCTCCCCCTCCTCCCCCACCCCTCCTCCTCATCCTCATCCTCATCCCACGTTTTCCCCCCATCCTCCCACTCATCCCTCGTCCTCCTCCTCCTCCTCCTCCTCCTCCTCTTCCTCCTCTTCCTCCTCCTCTTCTTCTCATCCTCCTCCTCCTCCGCCGCCCTTCTCCTCCGAAGTCTGACTCCTCCGCCTCCTCCGGCCACGCCGGGCCAAAAAGTCAAGACGGGCGGCAGCGCAGGCACGCGAGCAGCAGTCCTCGGGTGCCACTCCGACGCCCTGCGTGCGCGCGGCGCGGGGGGGCCCCAGCCCGCCCCAGAGCGCGCGGATCCGCTAGCGGAGGCCAATCGCCAATCTTTCGGCGACATAATGCGGGATGACGATTCATTAAAAAATGGGAGAGGACGATTAAAAACATAGTTCTCTGCTATTTCTGCACAACTTTCTGACTGGAGGAGAGCGATTAACAAACAAATAGCTTTCCAGCCTACGGCCGGTTTTTCTAATCGTCATCCCGGGCGCCGCCGCGTGAACACGACCCCCGGTCATTTATTAATCGTCATCCTCCATTGTCCGCATCCCCACTGCCCGCTCGGTCTGCCGCACGGGGCGACGGGCACGCCTCGCGCCCCACGGGGAGAATCAGGTCGGGCACGTCTTCCCACTGGCGGATTTTGCGAGGTAAATGAAAATTATCCCAGGGCGACCCTACCTAGGAGTTGGAGCCTCTAGGAAAGCAACATTAGTAGAAGTACGCGCGCGCACACACACACATATAAGTACATATGCATAGCAGCAGCAATAGTGGATGCTGTGCAGCGCGATGCTATGCTATGCTATGCTATGCTCTGCTCTGTTCTGCTATGCTATGCTATGCTATGCTATGCTATGCTGCGCAATAGTATGCTGGGCTAGGCTAGGCTAGGCTAGGCTAGGCTAGGCTATGCTATGCTGCGCTATGCTATGCTACGCTATGCTATGCTATGATTTTGCCTTGCCTTCGCTTTTGCCTTCACTTTTGCCTTTGCTTTTGCTTTTCTTGGCACCCAGGGAGCGCAACTGGGGGAACCGTGCGTTTGCTTTTACCTTTGCTAATGCTTTTGCTTGGCTCCCAGGGGACTGGGGGAACCGCCCGGGGCGCTTTCCACTGCCCGGCCCCTGTAAGCCAACAGAGTAAGAACCCTTCTAGGCAGAGCCTGGGTAGGGAAATCATCAAACAATGTGCATACATTGCCCGGAACATTAGAACAAGCGTCCCAAACCTATGTTCTGGGACAGAACCCCCTCGAGAAAAACGTGTTTTCATAAAAACGACCTCGGGCCCAAACCTGGCGGCCGCAAGCCTGGAAAATGACGGCCGCGGCGCCCTCCCGAGAACCGAAAACGGACAATTCACCAAGCGACGTGTCAGGGGGGAGATCCAAAAGGAGAACCCTCGACCACATGCTCGCGGAATCCGGCCACACGCAGGAGCGACCCTGGGAAAGAGCGACCTCTGGTGCGCGACTTTTTGGGGGGGGCCGCGGGGGGACCAAACCTGGGCGCGCAAGCAGCTGCTGCTGCCTCCTTTTGTACTCCAGATTTCGTAACAAAGGGAGGGGGGTCTCATTTCGGGGGGGGGGTCTCGTCCAGGCTATCTTGGAGGGCCTGGGGGGGTCTGGGGACGATGTTTGGGAGGGTTCTCCCACGGGGGGGGGGTCTGAAATGGCTTGTCTTGGAGGGTCCAGACCCCCTCCCTTTTATTACGGAATCTGGAGTAGCCATCTGGGGACTCACCTGCGCCCGCACGAAAGGTCACTCCGGCGAAGGGTCACTCTCACGCCTCGTCGAGGAATGGCCTCTGATACACGCGGCTCGTCGGTCGCCGCGCGCGGCGCGACAAGAAGCGGCGGCCCCTGCGCCTTGGGCTCGGGCCCCCCGCGCCGCCCGGCAGCCGCGCACCGCAGGCCACGCCGGCGAAGGGCCGCTCCTGCAGGGCGACGCAAGACCCGGGTTCGGGGGACCCCGGGCCAGAGATGCAACGCATGGAGCAAAATCAGGACGGAGGTTTTTCGCAAATTTCGGCCTCTGGGGGCCCTGGCAGAGCCCAGAGACCGTCAAAGAGCGACCCAGAAGGAGAAGCCGAACCTGGGGAATGAATGGGTCGAGAGACCTCGGGGGACCGCGCATTGAGAAAGTCACGAACGACATCGGATCTCTGGGGAGATCCTGGCGTTGCAATGTTTTCACAGCGGGCGTGTTCGCCCAATCTCGGGCCCCAAGGCCCTCGCATATCGATCCGGCTCGGAAGGTGACGCCGAAAGATGGGGGTCTGGGGGTCCGCATCTCCAAGGACTCGGGTTGGCCTGACGGGGCCATCATGAAAGTCTGGAAAGCATGTCGCACCACATGGGGCGAGAGCGAAACGACGTGTGCGGTCTGGACGCTGCCGCTGCGGCAGGGCGCGCCGCGTCTTCGCCGTTCTGGCCGTTCTGGCCAGCCACGATGTCAGGGTCGAGCATCACCTTGGCGAGCAGAAAACGAAACTTGCGCGGCGACCACATCTGCAATCTATAGAGGTTGCCATGCCATACGGACAAATCGGCACGACTCTTAATCATCATCATCACCACCAGCATCGTCGTCATCATCACCATCACCATCATCATCCTCATCCTCATCAGCAGCATCGTCATCGTCATCATCATCGGCCGCATCATCGTCATCGTCATTGTCATCGTCATCGTCGTCGTCGTCATCATCATCATCATCATCATCATCATCAGCATCATCATCACCGTCATCGCCATCACCATTACCATCGTCACCATCGCTTTTGAGCAAGTTTGACCGATCGGGATAAGTAGACTCGGCATCGAAAGGGAGGCCATATGGCCACAACTAGGTCAATACAAAATGTCCATAAGACATGGACCGATTCCAAATAGTCCGATGTCACTGGGAACGGGACTGGTTTCATGCTGTTTCGCTCGCCTTCCGTGTATTCACTTGCCTCTCCATGCCGATCGATCTCAGTGGGAAAAACTCGACGACAGAACGTCCACGCTGAAAAGAAGAACACGTAGAACCTACATTGCTTGATGGGTTGGTGGGACTGGTCCACTTTGCGCCGCCACACTAACTGAGAAACTACCGCTATGACGCCAGGCACTGAGTGGACGTCCTCAGCTTCCCTCTTGCTCTCTGCATCCCAATGTCACAAGCACGCTTGAGGGTCCAGGCCACAGGCCTCTTGATCGTTTTTTTGTCGCTCTCGTGCGTTTTTTCGGGGCGCCTCACGGAAAGTCCCAGAGTCTTCCGGATCGTGCTTTGAGATCAAACTCGCCATCGCTCGGACGTCCCTTTCCTGTTTTTTTGTTGGTTTCGTGCGTGTTTTTTTCGCCAAATGATCGAGGATGCTCCTCGACGGTCCTCGCCGAAGGAAGAATGCACACGTCCGAGCGATGCCCAGCAAAGCAACCAGCGTGCTCGAAGGTGGTCCCAAGGGCGGGTCTTCAGGCTCTCTTGGGGGGCGTCTTGTGGGCTGGCCCGGAGGCTCCTACGGGCAGGCCCAGGAAGCCCAGACTTCCTGGAACACCTTACAGTCGGGGCGTGGACGTAAGGAGCCCTAAATATAGGGAGCCCACAAAGGACGTACGCGCCCAGCTATGTACATGAACACGGCCCCTCGATTCGCGAGACCCGCCGCGTTATACGAGCATTTGTGCAATGCGTGCTCTCGAAACCAGCGTGGATTCATGTACATGTACGTCCTTGTTTCGCTCCTGAAAACAAGGAACGAAGCCCCTTTGTCCCGTAAGTTAAACTTCGATTTCACATGGAAAACCTTAGGACCCCCAAGGCAAACTGCAAAACAATCAAGGAACACCGAGCCCCTCCCCAACGGAAAAGGTTCCTTCTTCAGCGCCCCAACTGTAGCTTGTTGCGTGCTGTTCGCGCGCTCACCTTTTCGCTCTAAAGAGCGTCCGAGGTGGCTCCAGAGACCGCCAAGACTGAAGGGGACCCAGGACACACAAATAAATACACACAAACAAAACGATTCCCCATATTTTCCACTATTTTCTGGGTTTCTGTCTTCCCCCCCACTCCCCATATTTTCCTATATTTTCTGGGGAATCGACGATTCATCGTGTCTGTGTGTGTTTTTTTCCTCTTGAACCTTAGCTTGTTGCGTGCTGTTCGCGGGCTCACCTTGTCGGTCTAAAGGGCGTCCGAGGTGGCTCCAGAGACCGCCACGACGGCCCTCGAGGCCCCCAAGATGGGGAGCCAGAAGGGTCCAGTTGTCACATTCGTTGTGGTGAAAGCCCATCTTTCTGAATCAAGATGTTGGCGGTGCGACGGCAAATAGCGTCAATCATCCCCTATTCGCCGCCAGTGGCCGCTAAACGCCTAAAAACAACTGCAGGTGGAGTTCAAGGCTTCCACGACATCAAACCTTACAATCGGGCCCTGCACTCAAGATGGCCCGAGCGTGGCTCCGGAAATGTATAGTAGCCCCAGACTCGGGCGTCGAAGATAAAGATCCGCACCGCCCAGGGTCTTCAGATAAAGGCCTCGAAGGCCTCCAAAATGGGTTCCGAGCACGTGGGGTCGGAGGATCGCGCTGCATCGCCGACGCATCGGGGATGCATCGGGGATGCATCGGCGATGCGTCGGCGACGCCGGCGATGCATCGGCGATGCGTCGGCGTGGAGAAGCCCGGGCTCCGCATCGCGCCGCATCGCCGATCTCGGACCACACCTGGGAGGCCTAGACTGAGGTCGGGCCTGTCCCCCTACAGGGGGATTTGGGACAGAAAACAAAAACAGATCCCAAACATGCGCAAAAGATGCACAACAATATTCAACAAGTAATCCCCAGACTATTGCTTAAAACTATGTTTGAACATTTTCCTCCCTGTAGGGCCGGGCCGGGCAAAAGGGGGCGCCCGTGTCTCGAGGGATGGGCCCGGCGGCGGGGCCGAGACCAGCTGTACGCAGCAGATTTCGTACCCCCCCCCTTTCCCCTATCCCCCCCTTCCGTTCGGCCCGAACTTCGTGCAGACCGCAACCGGTTCCCAGAACGTTCGGCGGTGGGCCTCTAGGCAAGCCAGGATGCGGATGCTTCGCCCCTGCAGGCCAGGATGCAGCAGATCTCGTACCCCCCCCTTTCCTCATCCCCCCCCTTCCGTTCGGCCCGAACTTCGTGCGGACCACAACAAGATGCTTCGCCCCTGCAGGCCAGGATGCAGCAGATCTCGTAACCCACCCTTTCCTCATCCCCCCCTTCCGTTCGGTCCGAAGTTCGTGCGGACCACAACAGGATGCTTCGCCCCTGCAAGCCAGGATGCTTCCGTTCGGCCCCGCAGAGTTAGGTCGGGCGTGTCCCCCTACATGGGGATTTTCGACGAAAAATAAAAAATACCCGCCCCAAAATGCCCCCCAAAAGGCAAAAAATGCTCAAAACATAGTCCCCAGGCTACTTTTGGATTATTTTTGTTTAACTATTTTCGGTGTATTTTTGACTTTTCATCGAAAACCCCCCTGCAGGGGGATAGGCCCGACGTAACGGTAGAGGGACGGGCCCGACTCAAAGCCTGGGCCACGCCGGCCCGCAGAGCGGCAGCATGGGCGAGCCAGCACGTCGCCCAAGGGGCCGGAGCCCTGCGGTGTGCACCGCGCGGGAGGCGGCGCAGCCGGGAGGCAGGGCGAGGACGCCGGGGAGGCAGGACGAGGAGGAGGAGGAGGAGGAGGAGGAGGCGGAGGAGGAGGACGACGAGGACGAGGAGGAGGAGGAGGAGGAGGAGAAGGAGGAAAGACGAGGACGACGAGGACGACGAGGACGAGGAGGAGGAGGAGGAGGAGGCAGGTCGCGCCGGCGGCGCCTCCGGCGGGGGAGGCGACGAGGACGACGAGGACGAGGACGAGGAGGAGGAGGAGGAGGAGGAGGAGGAGGCAGGGCGCCAGGCGGAGGAGGAGGGGGCAGGGCGAGGGCGACGGGGGGAGGGAGGGAGGAGGCAGCTCGCGCCGGCCAGGGGCGTCCCAGAGGAGGGGGGCGTCCGAAAGGGGGGGGGGCCCGCAGATATCATGGCCCGAGGCGCGCGCGCGGCCAGGGGGGGGCCGGGAACGCCGTGCAGTGAGAAGAGTGCCCATGAAATCTGAGAGGAGGAGGAAGAGGAGGAGGAGGAGGAGGAGGAGGAAGAGCAGGAGGAGGAGGAGGAGGACTGAGGAGATATCATTGCCCCAGCCATCTGACATCCCCCCCAATCATAGGTGACATAAACATAAAAACTCGGAGGTGCGCGCGGATTTCTCGGATTGGCGCTGGGGCCCCCCGGCGGCGCCTCTGGCGCCGCCCCCGGCGCGCTCCGCGCGCCAGGGAGGGGGGTCCAGCGCCGATCCCAGAAATCCGCGCGGACCTCCGAGTTTATGTTTATGCCACTTCTTGTTCCCCTAAGAGCGCGTTTCTTTATGTTCGGCGATGACGGGCGTCATCGGGGGGGGGAGGGGGATGGCGGGGGGGGGTTTGACGCGACGCCCCCCCCCCGCCGTGTGGCTCCGGCACCACAGCCGCGCCCGCGCGAACGACGCGACGAGCGACGAGCGACGAGCGACGGCGACGACGCGAGCAGCATGTAGGTGGCGATCTGCCCATTCCGCTTGTGTACACCACAACGATCGCGTGCACCACACCGTGCGTGTACACCACAGCGCCTGCGTACACCGCAACAGCCGTGTGCAACGCACCGCCCGTGTATACCACAATACTTGGGAGCACTACAGCGCCGGTGTACATACACCGCAGCAGCCATGTGCAACACAACGCCTGTGTACACCACAGTGCTTGCGTGCACCGCAGCGCCTGTGCACGCCACAGCACCTGTCTACACCACAGCATCCGCGTGCAACGCAGCGCTGGTGTACACCACAGCGCCAGCATGCATAGGAGCATGTACGTCAGGATCTGCTGCGGACAACTAAACGCCACGCCAGGAAAGTTCTGATATTCGAATGCGACGTTTTTCCCTCATCCCTCCTCCTCCACGTCCACCTCCTCCTCTTCCTCCTCCTCCTCCTCCTCCTCCAATTCCTTTTCCTCCTTCTTACCCCCTGTCGTGCGGCTTGGCATTACAACGCACGTGCGCATCTCAACGTGCAACGCAGAATGGTCTATTGAATCAGTCCACTTGGTTCTCGGACGGCCAGTTCAACTGGAGCCTCCTGGACGCAAATGGGAGTTAGGGTGATGCGGGCGGACTCGGGGGGACTCGTAGATTCCAGCGGCGCTCCTTTGTCCATGAGGATTTGTTTTCCATTGTTTTCTCTGGAATCCACACGCGCTCCATTTTGTGCCAAGAATTCCTTCTGAAACTCTATACACAACAATGGTACTGTGTGTTGCACACGGCTGATGTGGTGCACACAGGCGCCGTGGCGTACACAGGCACTGCAATGCACGCAAGCATTGTGGTGTACACTGGTGCTGTGTTGCGCACGGCTGGTGTGGTGTACGGAGGTGCTGTGGTGTACACAGGAGCTGCTGTGCCCGCAGGCACGGTGGCACAAACTGACTCTGTGGTGCACGCGGCTGCTGTGGTGTACATCGGCGGTGTGGAGTACACAGGCGCTGTGGTGCACGCGGGCATTGTGATGTACACAGGCGTTGTGGTGCATATCGCCACGTACATGTTCGTGCTACCCGTCCTCCGTGATTCCTAAGCATTCCCAGACGCCGCCAGCGTCAAACGTGACGTCATCAACCCCCTCCCCCCAGATGATTGCCGTCATCGGCCCGGAGTTAAAAACAGGCCCCAGCCGCGTCCGCGCGCACGGCGACGATGAGCGACGAGCGACGAACCACGAGCGGCGACGACGGACGACGACGGCGACGACGACGACAACGACGACGACGACGACGACGACGACGACGACGACGACGACAACGACAACGACGACGACGCCTGCGGACCAGACACCTAATTATGCGGATTCCTACGCGGACACCTACGCGGATCCCAATGCGCACGGCGGCAGTGCCCGGAGCGCACTGGGGGGGGAACGTTACGTCATAGGGGGGGGTGGGGGGGAGCGGGGGCCATGATGCCCGTCATGCCCCAAGCAATAAAGAAACGGGCTCTAACCCTTGCTCCGGCCATCTGACATCCCCCCCCCAATCATCCCCCCCCTCTTGGCCGCCCCCGAAGCAGGATCCGCCAGAAAGCTGGTCGGCGTCGCCAGGCGAGCTGGGGGCCTCACCTGGGGAACCAAAGGGTGCCGACACCGCCGCCCCCGAGACCTCCTCAGGTGCTGTCTGACCAGGATTTCGAAGCGCATCTGGGCGCGGCGACAAGGGCCTCCCAGGAGGCCCAAGAAGGCCAACACGACGGAAGGGTGGCAGTATCGGCACCTTATCCTCCCCTGAGCTGCGTGGGGGCCAGCCCGCGAACGCAAGGCGCAGACCACTCTCCCCTATCGCGCTGCGCCGGCACGGGCGAGATGGCTGCCCAGGGTACCGAAAGCCGCGCGCTGCCCCCCTATATACGAGAGCGGCGCCCGTTGACAGTACCATGTTTGGAAGGCCTTCAGGCCTCGCTGCACCACGGTACGGTGCATATTACCAGCCTGGAACATATCCCTATCCCTATGCTGGGCACCTCCTCATCACGATGCCAATCTTAGGGATTCCCTTTTTTTTTGAGGGCGAATCCCTAAGATTGTCCTCGCCTTTTGGCGTGTCAATCTTAGGGATAGGGATACGTTCGAGGCTGGTAATGTGCACCGTGCCATTCTCGGGTCGACATCGCGGCACGGTGCACACAAGGCTGGCCGTGGGCCCCAGGGTCCCCGCCGAGCCGCACCGCCGACTGGCCCCGTGGGCGAAGCAGGAGGCGCGGGCGGCAGGGGCTTCGGAGAGAGCCGACGGCCCACGGAGAGTGGCGAGGCCACACTGTGCCGAAATGGTCACCCGTGTTTCTGGTGGCCTCTGCACCGCCTGCACCCCGCGCCCTCCGGCCGCCTGAGGCCCCGCCCGCCTGTGCTCTGTCTCCCCAATCAGTGCTTTGCGCGGCCCGCCTAGCTCTTGACCGGAAGAGGCTCGCTCTCGACCCGCAGGCCAATAAAGTTTCTGGTGGCCGCTCAGACTTCGACCAATGCTGCGGGAGCCGCCGGGGGACCTCAGAGAGGGCTGACATCGCAAAAGATTCGTTTTACCACCTCGGAAGGGCCGAAATGCTTCAAATGGTTCTTGACCACCTGTCTGAAGAGCCGCTCGGATTCAACTCTTAGGTGCGATCCCTTAAAGGTCTCATGTGGAGATGGAGGTTCACACTTGGTAGTGAAGACTAGGCTGAAGGTGGTGATCATGACTCTGTGAAAGAGGTCGGGGATGAGGGTGATGACAATGATAGGGGATAATCACGATGATAACGATAACGATGCAAGTGATGTTGTGAGACAAGTTGCGGATGGTTGAGCGCGGTGAAGCTGAGGACGACGTGACGCAATCATAATAAATCCGTTCATGCTAATTCATGTGCTGGCGACGATAATGGGATAGAGCTGGAAGAGGGTCAGGTGGTCATTGCAAGGGGGCCCAGAGAAAACCCCCTCTGTTTATGCGAACGCACAGCCTCGTACAGTGGGCGCATGGCCTCAAGAAACCGTCGCAAGAAACCCAACCCTGAAACTCCACAAAGGTTCTTGCTCAGGGTTTGGGTTTCTTGGCCAGGGGCTGAAACGGTGGGTGGACTAAAAGTGTCCACACGTGTGTCACCAAGACCTTGCGTCATGAAAGTACGTCGAACCAACATGTATACCCCCCTTCCCCTAAATTCAAAGTTGACGGGCTATGGCGGTAGGCCAAAGGCCAGGAACAAAATGTGGACACTTCCCTTTGGGCTTGGGGGGGAGGGGTGCGAAGTAAGGGCATTTCAGAGTTGTGGTTGCTATCATGTTGCATCGCCTTCCCGCAATGGGTGTGAACACTTTTTGTCCGGGCACCGAAGCGGAGAAACCCAGGGTCTCCTGAACGCGAGAGTTTCTTGACGCCCGCGGGAAACCATCGCGGGCCGCGCGGCGAGAAGAAACCCAAGATGCCCTGACGCAAAACATCCGGCTTCTTGGTACGCGCCCCCACTGTACGAGATGGCCCGTCCGACGTCAGAATTCCCAATATCATTATGCTCCTTACTACCGAAGTCCTTCCGGGGGAGCTGTAGTTATGTGGATACGTGGCAGAACTCCGTTGGCCAGGTTCGGGCGAGTTAGGCGTTGAAAGCTACACTCGTATGACACATTCAAATTGGCGTCGTCTGGAAGCCTCTGGATGCCTGTGCCCCATCGGCTCCCCCTGGAGGCTTCTGGAGCACCCCTGGAGGCCACTGGTAGCCTTGAACGCCTTCGGAGTCCCCTGGACGCGCATTCGGGGAGAGGCCCGAACGCACCTGGATGGCACCAGAAGCTGGCTGGTGACACCTGGGGGCCGCGAGGGGCCCGCGGTCTCCCTGGAGTCATCGGGTGCTGTCTAGAGGCAGACGTGCGCGAGCGAGAAAGAGCAAGAGAGAGAGAGAGCGAGAGAAAACGCCACGGCCAGAAGATCGGGAACGAGAGGGCGCCTACCTGAAGCTCCCAGGCCTTTTTAGCACCGTCTCTTTCGTTGTTTCTTTATTGTCTGTTTGTTCCCCCTCTCTCTCTCAGCACGCCTTCCACACAGGGAGGCGGGAGATGTCGCACTCCCACGGATCGCAGGTCTGGCTCGACGATCGGAGCAGGGAGAGTGGAAACAGCGACAGTCCAATATCTGTCCCCAGGCCCCTCCAGGGGTCCAGACGCACCATAGAATACGAAGCCAGGACGAGGATGACATCGGGTAGTGATCGATCGAGAATCTTGGAGATCCGGCGGATCTGGAAGATATCTCGAGCGCCGCGGCCCTCTCAGATCGGGCTGGGCGAAAGGGGGGGATAGCAAAGGGGGGGTTTGAGAATCAGCTCACGTAGCTGATTTTCCCGGCGCCTCCCGGCGCCAGAGGCGCCCATGAATCGAGGAATGGGCCCCTCGGTGGGGCCGAAACCAGCTGCATGCAGCAGATTTCGTAACCCCCCTTTCCCAATTTCCCCCTTTCGTCCGCCCCGATCGGAGCGTCACGGAGGGCTCTGGAAGGAGTGCGTCTTCGTCCTGGCCCCGCCCGCGACCAGTTTTCGAGGCTGCGTCCAGCCGTGGCGACGAGGGGCCCCCCCGAGGGCCCCCCAGAGGGCCCAAGCATATGAGGAGGAGGAGGAGGAGGAGGAGGAGGAGGAGGAGGAAGAGGAGGAGGACATGGCATCGCTTCAAGAATCCGTCCTGACATGTCCACTGCATGGTGATCTGATGTCGCGCAGTCGAACTTACATCCCGAAACGGTGCCGGACAGGCATGTCCTTCCGAGAAAAGATGAGCGAGGGGGTACCGTTGTTTCGAGACTCGCCTTCCCATCGTGGGAGGGAAACATATCCATGTCCACGGCCTCGCGGGCAGGGCCCCTGGGCCACGATCCCATGGATACTTACGAGGACATGATTTGCGGATGTCCCGCGCGGAACGCATCCGTGCGACCGCGCATCCACGGCATCCCGCTCATGATCCTCGGAGGTGCCGCGCTCCGCCGGGCCCCGGATCTCGTGCAGCAGCGCCCGGCCTCGCGCCGGGAGGCCACCGGGGGCCGCGCGAACTCGAAGCACCGGGAGTTGTAGAGGTCGAGCTGCACCTGCGCGGCGTTGCAGACCTGCGGGCGCGGCTCGGGCCGCCAAGACGGCCAGGAAATGCAGAGAGGAGGGGGCGAAGACATCATCAGCATCATCATCATCAGCAGCAGCAGCAGCAGCAGCATCATCAGCACCAGCATCACTATCAGCAGCATCATCATCATCATCATCATCATCATCATCATCATCATCCTCATCCTCATCCTCACTCTCGTCATCATCATCCTCATCATCATCCTCATCATCATCCTCATTATCCTCCTCCTCGTCATCATCCTCATCAGCATCATCCTCATCCTCCTCCTCCTCATCATCCTCCTCGTCCTCCTCCCCCTCCTCCTCCTCCTCCTCCTCCTCCTCCTCCTCCTCCTCCTCCTCATCATCATCATCATCATCATCATCATCATCATCATCAACATCCTTTCCCATCACTCCGCTCTCCTCCCGCTCCGCTCCCTTCCCGCCCGCTCTCCGTCGCGGGGGGTCTCTGAATGGGCCAGGTCGCACGCGAGGGCTGCCGCGAGCTCGGAGACCAAGCCCTGGGATGCCGCCCGGAGGGGCCGACGCCTCCTCCGAGCCCTGAACACGCCTGGCGCTCCAGCGCGTCTCCTCCTCCTCCTCCTCCTCCTCCTCCTCCTCCCCCTCCTCCTGATCCATGGATCGGGGAAAGAGCCCTCGAAGCGTGAGGCCGGCGCCGCTGGACCCGGCGACGCGGCGCGCCCGTGCCACCGGGGGCGCCCGAGGCAAGTGGCAAGGAAGCGCGTCTCCGAAGAGGTCCAGGACGGGCGCGGCAGGGGCGAAAAGATCCTGGCCGGCAGCTCACGCTATGACGCGAACCACGCAACGAAGCCCTGCAGGTTGGCCAAGGGAGCCCACCGAATGAGCCGAGGAGAGTCCACCAGAGGGGGGAGCCGGCTGGTTCGTAACGGGGGCGGCCTCGCCGAAAAGATCCGAAAGGTTAGTGGGCCACTCTCCAAGCGCACGAGGGCAACGCCAGCGTCCTACGCCTTCCGAGGCTGACCAGT